ATGAATGACCCAGACCCCACCATCTCATGATTGTATGTGTGTGGAGTGATGCCATGTAGGTCAGTCTATGTGAGTCAGTCTATGTGAGTCAGTTCGTTATCAGACTTCCGCTGCATAAATGCTCATCCTATATTGGTTGATCTTTGGTTCTGCCCATACTCATTGAAGTATGTAACATGGTCACCATGGTGAAAGTGCACAATCAGAGACGATTCCGCTCCTCAACACGTAGACCTACCAGTTTTGACTCATGTCTAAAGGACTTCCTATCCACTACTCGCGTCTGTTCTAGGCTGTCAATAGAACAGAAGGGGKAGTGGGAGAAGGAGAGGGAGCGGGAGAAGGAGAGGGAGGAGGAGAGGGAGGAGGAGAGGGAGGAGGAGCGGGAGGGGGAGCGGGAGAAGGAGAGGGAGGAGGAGCGGGAGGAGGAGTGGGAGGAGGAGAGGGAGGAGCGGGAGGAGAGGGAGGAGGAGAGGGAGGAGCAGAGGGAGGAGGAGCACGAGGGGGAGCGGGAGGAGGAGAGGGAGGGGGAGCGGGAGGAGGAGAGGGAGGAGGAGAGGGAGGAGGAGCGGGAGGAGGAGCGGGAGGAGGAGCGGGAGGAAACGCGGAAATTAGGGTTGGGACCGAAATTTTCGCGAATTTTTTTTTTCGTTCTCCTTGTTTGAGAAATTCCGAAAATAGGTTTAGGCTTTTAAAAATCGGATTTTGACAGTGGAAATTCCCGAAAATTCGCATTTTTGAAAATTCGAGCGTTATTCTTCTGAAATTTTCCGAATTTTTTTTTAAGCACACTAAGCCGTATCTGACCTGTTTTTCCAGTTTTAATTGTTTGTGCTTGAAACTGGGTCCAGCGTGCACAAATAAAACACGAACACGGAAAAGGAAGAAAATAAACTACTGCCACGTAAGAAAATGCATCCTACTCCTGTTGGACCCTTACTCTGATGCAGTAATCCGTTGGTCTCCTAGATTTTTTCTATGCTTCTTCGAATCTTCAATTGTTCTTAGCCGTAATGATTTGTGTAAATTCTATGTGGGACACTGGGCCCGGTTCCCAGCACGTGCAGTTCCCCACGAATAGATTGGAGCAATTTGTCCCCCCCCCAAAAAGAGATTCCCAGTGTCCCTATCTACCATCCTGCGAAACCACAGCCAAGGGAACCAGCTTGGAAGAATAGAAAAGGGAAGGTGCATACTCCTCAAAGTTCAAACGGACTGCCTATGAGATACAAGAAAGCCCGCCCCCAGCTGCATCGAGAGTCTCTGCAATTGGGCAAAAAGATGAGAGGAAGGGTGGGTGGGGTCTTCAGAGGGGTTCATCTGGACAACCGAGTGGCCGAGTACTGTGGGTGACTGTCATCTGTCTAGTATCCCATCTCTACAACAACCTGGGCTTAAACCACCAGGACACCCGGGTCTCTTTTTCAAAACTGCCAGCTGCCAGCGCGGCACTTGTTTTCTTTTTGGCTGGTGGCGCCAGCCCTTGTGGTCTGGTAGGTGCTAGCCGCAAAAGCAATCTTGTGGTGACAAGATGTTTTGCTGCAAGGCTGGAGCCGTTTACTTGTGCTTTTAAAAAAAAAAAAAGAAAAAAAAAAAGAGTCTCCGCATTTGTAGTTTTGTTTCGGTTGGGGTGAGGGTCTCTTTGTACCACGAGCGCTCCCACCACTGTTTTTTGGAGATGGAGTGTCACAACTTCTCACAAGTAAAAGGAACCTTAGCCTGCAAAGTTACCCAGGTGGCATCTGTCAACCACAGAAAGGAGCGAATGCGAGAGCTCAATTCATTTGAGTCGACCGCTCCTCACAAAAGCTTGATTAACCATTCTTCAGATGCTGTACTGTCTTCACCCGAATAGAACGGTCGATCATCATTGCTGCTTCTGGACTGCAAGTTGCCCCAAATACAGCCGTAATGAGCAGGTGTTGTACTCGGGTGACGACGGTAGAGCTGCACAGACTCAGATCACAGGTTCTATGCATGCCCTTATTTCCCAAGCAAGGACTCAGTTGGCTTGAATGCAACAGCTGAGAGGACACACGATGTGATCATGAACTTTGAGATCTGAATATTTTTTGTGTCAGGACACGTGGATGACAAGTGTGCAGTGCAGTTTGTCTTGGCTGAAATGTGATGGGAGGAGGAGGTAAGCTTCTAGAGATTACATTGACACTGTGTGCCCTGGGGATTCTGACAGACGTTATGAGAAAAGTTTGTGACAACTACGTTATATGTCTGGACAGTGGACAGTGATTGGGTGGTCAGGGCAGCTGATTGGTTGTATAGTTCTTTGCTCGTTTGGTCGTTTTGACTGCTTGGCAGTTTGTGTGTGTCTTACAAACTCTTCGTTGTGCGTGGTGCTTCTCACTTTTTGCAGCCTTTTGTCGAACAAAAAACTGATAGGTCCATTGCCTAAACTCCAAGGCTTAAGATATCTGGAGATTCTGTAAGTGTTCGCGAAACCTACCCATTCTACTCTTTCCCTCCTGTATCCAAATATGTGATTATGGTTGTCTGTGGGTGGTGGGATGATGGGAATGCGACACAAGGATAGTGGTGTTTGTGTTGTCCTCTGAATATCCGTGATGGTTATGGATGTTCTGCCATACCCGTATGAAGAAGAGAGAAGTGAGGCTAGGGCTGAAATGTGGTCTCTTGAGTTGCTGGCAGTAAGGGGGAACACTCATACATGATTCCTGTTCAGTCGTTCATTTGTTGTTGCATTTAATTGGTTATTAAGAGGAGGAAGATTAATTGGTTATTAAGAGGAGGAAGAGTAAGGAGAAGAAGGTGAGATGAGAAGGAAGAATGAGGGGGAAGACATTGGTGTAACTCGTGTAATTCTTCTTCTTTTATAATTCTCTTTCTTTTCATCTACTCTTTATCTCTCCCCGTCTCTTCTTTTCATCTACTCTTTATCTCTTCCCTCGACGAGCCCTACTGGGCCCTGTTTACAAAAGTGTCCGCTGCCCTAAGTGAAGGCAGGCCCGACCAAGGACAAGAGGCCTATTTTCGGCAACCACGCAACTGGGGAAATTCGGGCAGTTGAGCAGCGCCAATTGGTTGAGAGCACCCAGGCCCTGGCTTCCTTTTTCAAATGTAACTGAGGCAGGCCCTGGGCCAGATACGCAACATGGACCGAACACAGGCTGCGGGCAGTTGACCAGGGGTAACTGCCAAAGGCCCTGGGCCGGATTCGCTTGGATTGGGGCTCAGCCACTTGGGGCCTACCGGAAGCTTCTGGGCAGGGGCCCAGCATAGCCAGGCCGCATGCAGCAGGCAGGCCACTTCCATTTAGGAAAGTGCCTGCCCTCACATTTGGCATTCGGGTACTTGCTACATGCTGCGCAAGCGCTTTTGCGGCACTGGCAGGCAAGCGCCCACGCGCTCACGGGCGAGCAAGGAGTACGCAGGCAGCCATAGCCAAGCCGGCCTGCGAGGTGCTGGATGGGGCGCATGGTGGTCCTTGGGTGCACGTGGCATCTGTGTGGGAGATCGAGGTTGTGAGTGATGTGAGAGACATACCTGGTGCTTGAGGCGAACGGCATTGGCCAAGATCTGCTCGTACTTCGGGGAGCTGTTGATGTCTCCAGCGGCATTGTAGATAGGCTAGATAGGATCTGCCACTTGTAGTCTGGGCGCAGAGCGCCAGATAGGAAATCCACATTGGTTCTTTGTTGATGATGATGAGACTATTCCAACATTGTCACTTGTGAGCTTTTGCTGTGCTCTTATTTGGTGGAACTCGAGTTGCAATTCTGCTTTTGGTTCGAGGTCACGACTATCTGGTTTCGTGTGTATTTCTGGAATTCGCTATCGCCCATTTCCTTGCATTTTGGTATCAGAGTTGTGGTACGTTGCGCTAATCTGGCGCTTGTCTTCTGCCTATGCAGTACATGCATGCGGTTTGCTGGTCGAGCGGCCGTAGGGAGCATGTAGTGAGGAGGGCGAAGGCAAGCAGGCGACCTAGGCGGAGCGGGGTATCGCCAGGAAGGCTACGAGGTGATTTCGGGTGTTCATAGTGTGATGAGAACTATATGATGTGCGATTGATGGCGAGGTGGAACGGCGGTGTAATGCTGGTTGTGCCGATGCAATGATTGGTCATACAATCGACGTCAGGTCATGTGGTGAGAATATTTGTGGTTGGGGGCAGCTATTTTGAGGTACGTTGCTCTTAACCTTATCTACCCTCTTCGACACTTCTACCGTGAGGATGTGTGTTCTGTCTTGAGAGTCCTCTCATGTGAGGAGTCAAGTGCGCTCAACCTTGAGAGTCGGCATTGTTCTCGTGGAGCATCTGGAAGGAGAGGGCGGAACTATCTGAAGGGCCCTGGACGAAGCACTGCGTCACGGTCACCATGCCAACCCACCAGGAGTAGAGCACGCATGCTTTGCTGCTGTATGAGGGGCAGGCCAGTCCTACAGGGAAGACGAGTACCACACGTCTATCTATAAGTACCGGCGGGGTTACCTTCCATTGACTGTTATCGTCGTCCTGTCTGCGACGTTAAATAATTCTTGAGGACTTCGGGGGCCGTCCTTAAATGCCTCTGATCAGCCAATCGGTCGGTGTAAGGCTCGCTGCACGCGAGGGTAAAAATGGTGCAGGGCTGGCCGGCTCAATTTTGACTTGGGGCACAGGGGTGGGCCGTGTGCACACCTTTAGACACGCACGCTATCTGGATTGCTCAGGGACGCTGATGTCAAGCGACAATCAGGAAGAATTGAGGGAGGGGTAGATTTCAGGTGATAGGTTCGGGAACAATTTCACTCTGCCAACAGCCATTCAAACGATTCTGTTTTACTTTTGATTAGTTAGATGTACATCCATTAACATCTGACAGACAACATAGGTAGAACAGTTTCTGCTCATTTGCTTTCTGTTGGCGGACTAGTCAAAGTAAAATAGTTTCGTTAGTAGGAATCTGGACTTACCTGTTTGACCCAACTGTGTATACACTGACATAGCCCTCAATTAATAATTTTATTTATTCTAAACCGGTTTGAGCACTACGCTGCGGTAGGCAACCGTGTGAAACCTAGTGCAGACAGTGTGCAGTGTTGTAGGGGCGACGGTTGTACAGACCCTGAGCCAGTCCGCTGGCGTTATGGCAAGCCAGCAGTTAGTGTTAACTCCCGAGGAGGTCGCCATACAAAGAGCCAGTGCTCAAGAGGCACAGTTACAGCAGGCGTTAGATGAGATATGGGCAAACAAAGAAAGGATGATCAGGAGAAGATCTAGGATGCAGCGGAGGCAAGCGGACATTAGCGAGTTAGAGGAGATGGACTTGACTAATATGGATGAGGATGTGAGGACCGTGAGGACAGCCCTGCTAGATGTAGTAGAGATGCAGGACTACCACACGACACTCTTAGAGGACATCCAGCGAAGCCTGGCTGTGTGCTAGATGTAGTAGAGATGCAGGACTACCACACGACACTCTTAGAGGACATCCAACGAAGCCTGGCTGTGCAGGTCGGGCGAGTTCAGGCAGCACCATCACCATCTGGGCCTGGTGTGAGGAAACCCGGGGAGGGTGCGCCCGCCGCTCGCTGAAGCCAAGGGCTACAACGCATGCCACTCGATGCACCCGCTTCCGGGGTCCTCAGCGGCCAGCAGGGTGCCAGGATTTGCATCGACCTGTCACACGCTCCTTTCAAACTGCTACGTATGACGGTTCATACAATCAGTCAATATGGAAGAAAAAATAAAATAAAACAAAAGACCACTCAAATCCACCGATCTGAGATCCAGACTGAGATGTGTGTAGAGGTCATTGGCATAGGATCTCAGGTTTATAGGTGTGAATCATGGAAGACGGAATAAAATATGAGGGTCCTTTGCAATGCACAAATAACAGATACAGACTCGAGAGATGCAGGGGCATTCACAAAATTTTCCATTGATAGGGACAAACTTGCAGTTTTCCCTTACTACGGAGGTATTTCAGAATCGATTACAGTCTCCGAGGCAGAACAAGAAGTTTACTAATCCCCACGGCAAACTCTCAACTTGTGGAGTTATACCTGCAATGAGCGAACTTCGCAGGAATAAAGTGTAATGCCTGGCGTTTGCCAGCAGTCGTAAGCTGGTTCAGTTTTGCAGAATATACTGCAGGGCCCAGCTGGGCACACAAGAAGTCCACCCCAGTTATCTGAGTAGTAAATATGTAACCCGATTTACCGCTTTTACACACGAGTGGTTGTTGTCTTCACTTTAACCATGATGTCCAAATATTGATCCATTGAAAATCGGAATGATGAAATCATTCCCTTTGAAGTGCCCCTGCAACGTGTGAAAACAGATCGTCGATTGGTACTCTGTGTGAAAAGATCACGTCCAAAAGTGTCGTGAAAACCTTCCGGTTCCTCATGAGACCTGCAGGTTGCCATCTGTCCAGCATCAGATACACTTGGTGTTACTGTAGTTCTCATGTTTGAAGGAAGAACTTCCATTCCCTTCATAGTGGGCGACTTCTCCCTCTGGCTCGCGTGTACACTCTCTCCCTTAGCTTGCCGTCACGCATTCTCAGGTCCACGTGACCTCTCTCCCTAGCTCTCCCGCTTTCTGTCCTTCCCTATCACTCCCCCGTTCACACTAACTCCCTTGCTTCCACCTCTCTCTCTCTCTCTCTCTCTCTCTCTCTCTCTCTCTCTCTCTCTCTCTCTCTCTCTCTCTCTCTCTCTCTCTCTC